CTGTGCCGCACTTCGAGCAGATGGGTCCGTACCGCTTTCGGTGAGTACTCCTAGCAGCATTGGTCTGGTACCTCATATGTAAAGCTGTTGCACTTCGACATCGACAAAAAGAATCGTCTTGGTGGAAGTGGTCGTTGTAGTTCCCCTCCCTCCAAAAACAAGAATCAGAATGTTCAGAATTTGGCAAAAAAATAATTAATTGGTACATTTTAGGGAGAAAACAAATCAAAATTACTTTGAATGTTATCAACACTTTGTCTTTATCGCGGCAAAGTATTGAGTCTTGAACATCCGTATATGGTGTACACACGTAAGTAGACTGCTTGCACGGCCTGGCTAGGGCTGCGGCAGTGCACAGCGTTATGAACACCAATGGCCCTAATTGAGATAACTCAATGGACTGCTCGCAGGCAGGCCTCCCCAACCCACTCCTCAGCTCCTTTCGGTATTGTTTGCAGCGTCCTGGAGAAGGGGGAAAGAGGGGGGCGGGCACACATATTGACGGATGAAAGGTTGTCGTAAGGATCAGAGGAGGACAGCAATGAACGGACAATATGGCACTTTACTCTGGACCCTACATTGAATTGCAATTTATGCTTCGCAGGGAGACGAAGGAGAAAGTCAACATCACATGGAACGCCAACAACGGCACCATTTCCTTCCGTCAGCTCAGGCGGTGGTACTTTGACGCCGCGAACTCCAACGGCACCCTCGCCGACAACGTGACGACCATCAACGTGGTCGCTCTGGCAAGTATTACGTCATCTCGCACTGCGTTGACAAAACTCTGGTGAAAAGTGATGAGGGGCGTAAATCCAATGCAAAGTCCGTGGACTTACGCCCTTTTCACTTTTCACCAGCGAAAAGATCGGCTGCTCTTGCCCGATTGCTGGGCCAGACTCGTTCTGTTCGCGTTTTCCCGCGGCGGCGGTGCACGGGACTTCCCCGCGCGGGGTAGCGACGCTTGTCCGCGAGCGAGGTGTATCGCCAAGTCCTACCCCGCAGCGCTGACGCGGTGCTCGGTTCTATGTAAAGAGCCTCAGAGTGAAAGAGTCGCATGGGTCACGTGACTTGCTCGCCTCTGATTGGTTTGGTTCAACTGGGGCGAAAAACGCGCGGGAAAATTTTTCATACTTAGCAGAAGGCCCGGCTCGCCAAATACGTGATATTACATTTGTCTGTTTGACTAATTGCACTTTGCTAGACGAAAAATATAAACGAAATAATACTATTTATTAATTTAAAATAGGCTACAAACAACTGCGAGCTTTCGATTGATTAGTTAATCGATAAATATCTGTGGATTAAAAATCGCTTCCAGCATGGCTGCTCCGGCTCGGCACACGAGCGTGCAGGTTAGGTCACAATATTATCTATTTTCATACGGTATTACATTAGTAATGAGTCTGGCAGAGTGTTAAAAAGTATTCCTGGGTATTAATATATACTTTTTTTGATAATTATTTTAAGTCAATATTTGTCTATCATCCTAAGAGCTTAATTGTAAAATGGCCATAGTTTAAATACGCGCCTAAACAGTTGACGACTACACGGTATGAAAAATATAGGGGTCACATCAACTCCCCAGTTGAACCAGTCACGTGACCCATGCGACTCTTTCACTCTGAGGCTCTTTAGTTCTATGCTGGTGGTGTGCTCCCCGCTCGCTCAGGGTCCTGGGCTCCGGTATGCTCACTCTGAGGTACTCGTTGCAGACGGCGGCGCATGTGGTGCGGGACTGGTACTACCTGGTGCGCCGCTCCGTGGCCCTGGCCCTGCGCTCCACCAACCAGAAGATCTCCATCCGCCGCACGGTGGGCCAGTTCCTGTTCGACGGCTACCAGGACCCGCTCATCACCGTCGCGTCCACCGTCCCCGGGCTGGCCGGCATCGCCATCCCCAACTTCGACAAGTTCGGCTGGTTCTACACGGTAAGTCCCGAGAATCTTATAGAGTAGCTACAAAGTAAAAGTGTGTTGTCTTAATGGCGACGACCTCCAACTCCAGCGCAACGGGTCCACCGAGTACGACGGCCTGTTCAACATGGACACGGGCGCCAACGACATCGCGCACCTGGGCGAGCTGCTCCGCTGGAACTACAACAACTTCACGCCCTACTACGAGGGCGAGTGCGGCGCGCTGCGCGGCTCGGCGGGCGAGCTGTGGCCGCCGGGCCGCGGGCCCCGGGACCGCGTGAGCCTGTTCGCGCCCGACCTGTGCCGCTCCGTGTCGCTGGACTACGCGGGCGCGATGCGCGAGGCGGGCGTCGACGGGCTGCGCTTCGAGGGAGGCCCGCTCATGCTCGACAACGGCGCGCTGGACGCGGCCAACGAGTGCTTCTGCGACGGCGAGTGCGTGGCCGGCGGCGTGGCCAACGTGTCGGCGTGCCGCTACGGCGCGCCCGCCTTCGTGTCGTTCCCGCACTTCCACCTCGCCGACCCGGCCTACCGCGCCGCCGTGCGCGGCATGCGGCCCAGCGCCGACCGGCACAGCTTCTTCATCGCCCTGGAGCCGGTGAGTAGCTGCATGTGACTGCATCACCACCGAGAGCAAAAGACAACAGGTGGCTGACTCACGCCGCGCACTCTCGTAGTTATACTGTACCTCATGCAAAGGTGCGCGTGGGTTTGCCTACCCTCGCTGTCCACGGCTGCTCAGGGCCCCGTGTGAGTAGGTAACCCACACGTCCGCCCGCGTGGTTGAGGTACAGTACCCACATCTACGAAAGTGCGCGGCGTGAGTCAGCCTGTTGGTACATCCCCAAAATCTCCATATATTTGCTGAATCTTCGTGAACCGAAATTTATTTTTAATTTTTGAAAATTTAGTTTTTTTGGTAACGTTGTAGAAGAAGATTGTATTTTGTAAATTAAAACGTTTTAATTTTTAACGTTATCACTGTAAATGTAATCATTCGGAATCTCGAAGATAACACCCTGACCGCACCGCTTCTTTCTCTTTCCTCCACCAGACGTACGGCATCCCGCTGGACGTGGCGGCTCGCTTCCAGATCAACCTCATGGTGCGGAGGGACCCCGACATCTAGTGAGTCGTCGTATTAGCAAGGCAATTTGTTTTTGGTTGTCTTGCTGTAAGTTGATGAGCGCTCTGGCCGACGGAAGACGTGTTTTGCTCGCAGCATGCTGGCCAAGGTCCCGCAGCGGCTCATGTTCCCCGTGATCTGGTTCGAGCAGCGCGCCGCCATCACGCCGGAGCTGGCGGTGCCGCTGCGCCTGCTGCTGCTGCTGCCCGCCATGCTCCTGGGCACGGCGGGCGCGCTGGCGGTGGCGGGCCTGGGCTGCCTGGCGGGCGCGCTGCTGTTGCGGGCGCAGCGCCGGCGTCGCAGGACCGACACCCTCGCGCTCGTCGCCTCCATTGTGGGCAGGGGCGCGAGCCGCACGGGGTAAGTGAACGACCCTCTGACGTGATTCGTCCACCGTCGTCCACCTTTTAATTTGGCAACCCCAATGATTATTTGACGGCAGCTGCGTCCAGCCGACGACAAAGCCGCCCCTCTGCGGCAGCCGCGGCCTGCTGGCATCCGGCGCGACCGGTCCCGGGGGCGCGAACCAGCCCCTGCTGACCGCGAGCGACGAGCCGGGCTCCGGGGGGACGAGCAGCCCCGTCAGAACAGCGCCCGCCCCGGCCGCCGCCGAGGACTCCGGCACACCGGAACCGGGCGATCCGGACGAGGAGCCACCCGCCCGGGGAGGAACCGGAACACGGCGCAGCGACGACGAGGAGGAGGCCGTCCGGAAGGGGTCAAAGGAGGAGGAGGAGGAGGAGGCAGCCTCGAGGGTGGCGGAGATGGAGCAGGGCGATGAACTCGGAGGCCGGCACGCGCACGTGCGGAGGGGAAGCAGCGCCGCCCCGCTGGAGCGCTCCGGGGAGCAGGACATTGTGTCGCAGGCCCCCGCGGCCCCCACGACAGTGATCGTGGCCCCCGTGACAGTCAACGCAGACACGAGCCCGGGGCCGGGCTGAACGCGCAGCGCGCGGCGAGCAGGCCACGAGTGTCAAAAGGCGGGCGGATGTCGGCGGCCTCGGGGACCTCGAAGAGCCCCTCAAGGCCGGGCCGGGCCGGGCGACAAAACCATCAAAGCGAAGGCAAGAAGAAGAAGAAGACGAGTGCAACGCAGCGCCGTGCAAACAACATATAACTGGCCGTTATCGAGCGTGCGCCCCGTAACCGCGCGCCGCGCTGCGGTGCGACCAGTGTGCGACGTGCGCGAGGCTGCCCGCGGGCCGCGCCGCCCGTGACGCATGCGGCGTGGAGGACGCCCTCGTTGTCGTGTGAGCCGAATCGGTGCAGCCGGCCAGCCGCGGCCCGGGGCCCGGGCGGGCGGCGCGTCGACCCATTTGCGATATTGCTTATCATCTTCTTTTCTATCATCTCAATTTTTACGTCCAAGTTTTTTCACCAGAGACCATAAAAATAAAATCGATACGAAACGAGCGTACAGTCTGATACAGTAGTAGGTTGGTAGATTCCTTCGGTATCAACATCGTCGGAAGACGCCCGCCCTTCCCCCTTTCCACCCTCTTGACCACCACCTTCCGTGGGAGCGGGTACGAGTCCGGGTACAGTGCACGAGTACAGTCACCCCCCCTTCCCCCGCATTCTCGCTGCCAATTTGCGAGAGTAGGGCCTCACTCGGTAAACACTCGAGCACCGCGGGGCGGCTCTCGCCGGCTGTGGCGGCCGCCAAGGCGGGAGCTCGTGAAGGGCGGGGTTGGGTGCCGCATCATAGCCCGGAATTGCTCGTATACAGAATACGTATTACGTCGACTCACCCATGGAAACCTTAATCTGTATTCTAAATACTGGCTGTTCCGCTGAACACCTCTTCTTAATAAGGAAGATGCGTGTAAGTAACAACTATAGTTCTCTATAACTAACGTTTTAAGTTTGTATT